GGCAAGGCCTTACAGCAGGGGTCTCCAAACTTGACAGCTTTAAGACTTGTGGACTTCAACTCCCAGAATTCCTCCTCCAGTCATGTTAGCTCAAGAATTCTGGGAGTTGAAGTCCACAAGTCTTAAAACTGACCAAGTTTGAAGATGTGCTAGACCCATGATGGCAAACCCATGGCAACGTATGCCACAGGTGGCATGCAGAGCCATTTGTGCCGGCACACGAGCTGCAGGCAAACTTACCTCACTGCACATGTGCGTGCCTCACAGCTGATTTTCAGCTGGTTTGAGGCCTTTTTCAGCCTCCCAAAGGCTTAAGGAAGACTTCTGCAGGCCGAAAACTACGCCCGTTTCATCACTTCCTGATTTTCCTAAAATACCGGAAGTGATGAAACAGGGCTAGTTTTTGGCCTGCAAAGCCTGCAGAAGCCTTCCTCAAGCCTCTGGGAGGCCAAATAAGGCCTCAAACCGTCCAAAAATCAGCTGTGAGGCGCAGGTAAGGGGGCGGCGGGGGCGGGATTGCGTGCACCTGTGTAGGGGGCGTGGGAGGGCACGCATTGCCTTCTGGGTGCTGGCATGCAAGTGTGAGCGTGAAAGCGTGCACGCAATTTTTGGCACAGGAGCCAAAAAAGGTTAAGCCAACACTGTCCTAGACCAAGGATCTCCCATCTTAGCAATTTTAAGACTTGTGGACTTCAACTCCCAGAATTCCTCCTCCCGTCATGTTAGCTCAGGAATTCTTGCCAAGTTTGAAGACCCTTGCCTTACAGCAACAACATAAAAAAGGAAGGAAGGAAGGAAGGAAGGAAGGAAGGAAGGAAGGAAGGAAGGAAGGAAGGAAGGAAAACTTATTTTATTTTATTATTACTCCAACTTACATTTTGCTCCTCCGGCTCGAGTTTGGGAATTTTACGTGACTTGCGCTCTTCCGAATGGGCAGCATCATGCTTGCTGCTTTTTTTCCGTTTCTCCTTCCTCCCTTCGTGCTTGGACTTGGCAAACTCGCTCGCTTGCACTTCGTTTAGAAGATCCCCACACAGCGAGGACTCAAACAATTCCCTGCCGTTCTGGATAGTTTTGGTAATTTTCAGTTTAATCTCGGGTGAGCCCGTCTTCTTTGGAATCACCGTTTGGGAGACGGAGGGAGGGGGAGGCTGAGGAGGGGAGGGTTTTTCCAGAAGGTCATGTGGCCTTAGGTTAGAGTTCTCCATGTGGTAATACTCCGGTGGGCTAAAGTTTCTAACGGTGCCAAAGCCGTTGGCCGAGCCATTCGGATACTGGCTGAAGGACTGGAATTTGGCCTGGGGCTCGTACATGCCGATTTGGGGGAATCCATTAATGAGGGGCGGAAGGTCTTCGGCGGTTGGCGTGGGATACTGAAAACCTTGCTGCAAGGCAAGGGCAGCTTCATAGGGAGTCTGTCGGCCATCTTCCGTGATGTCACTGTGGGCATCGAAAGCATCCTCTTGGCGGTTGTTCGCCGAATCAATGAGTTGAGGTGGTTGCTGAATTGTGTTTCCCATGATCCCTTGCATGAAAGAGAAGGAGAAATCCATTGTTCTGCTCCAGCATCCTTAGCTTTCCCTTTTTCTCATAGGGCCTTAAAATGAGAGAAAGAAAGAAGAAGGAAAAAAAGATGTGATTCTATGGCTTCTCTAGCAAACATTTCAAAAAAATCAAGAAAGGTAATCGCTACAATTTAACAGGAATTTCCCCCTTTCTGCTAACTTTTAGTTTACTTTATTGTCATTGCACCTCGTACAATGAAATTAAACACCATCTTCAGTGCACATCATGACCATGAAAATGAAGATAAACACAAACACACATCCTTCACCCTCCTCCACACATTGAACCGGAAACCCCTGACACCACACCCAACACTGCATTACACAGCAGAATTCAAAAGAGCTACTGCCCTGAGACAGAAGCTGTTTTTCAGCCTATTTGTCCTTGTTTTTATTATCCTGTACCGTCTGCCAGATGGTAATAGTTCAAAAAAAGGGATGCCCAGGATGAGATGGATCTTTGAGAATGTTTTGAACTTTCTTAAGGCAGCGGGAGCTATAAAGCTCTTCCAAAGAGGGGAGAGGCAACCAATGATCCTCTGGGCAATGACGTTAACCCTCTGGAGTGCTTTCCTATCTGCCCCTGTGCAACTGTCAAACCATACAGAGGTGCAGTAAGTTAAGATACTCTCAATGGTGCAGCGGTAGAAGGTCACCAGCAGTTTTTCATTCAGTTGTTATTTTCTGAGAAGTCTCAGGTAGTATAATCTCTGCTGGGCCCTTTTGACCAGGGCTGCAATGTGGGCACCCCAGGTCAGGTCCTCTTTTAGGGTAACACCCAGAAACTTAAAACTGGCCATTTGCTCCACTTGCTCTCCATTGATAACTGTCAGGATTCCAGCAATCGCCCTAATTAAATCATGAGTCTCGAACCAAACTTCAAAAAACTTCGAAGGATTCATTAGAGGCGACATACTGGCACTGCCCTGTATGCAGCCAACTCTGGCATATGTAATTTACAATCACCTGTTTCCCCCCTCCCCCCTGTGTGTCTCATAAACCAGATTCTCCAATTGAGCACCTTCACGGGATGGGTGTCATCATTCATGTTCTCCAATTAAATATATTCGGGGCAAAAACTCTGGTATTTCAGTTACAACCTTTTAAAGATAAGAGTTGAAATGTACTTTCACTTTCAACTGCTCTTCCAGATTTCCTTCCTCCCCTCCCCCCTCTTTTTTATGGCAACTACTAAAACAGGCATAGGGATATTTTATGAGTTGATACTAACAAGGTTTCAAAGGCTAGTAAGTTTACTACAGCATAAACCAGTGGTAGTCAGCCTGGTTCCTACAGCCCACTCGTGGGCGTTCCAGCTTTCATGGTGGGCGGTAGGGATTTTGTCCCCTACTTTATAAATCACCATTACTGTGGTGGGCGGTTAGAGAAAATTTTACTACTAATAGAGATACAAAAGTGGGCGGTAGGTATAAAAAGGTTGACTACCCCTGGCATAGACTGTAGGGTGTAGAGCAAACGTTTTTATTTGGCACACAAAAGACTTTCCTTCATTATTGTAAGGCACAAAAGATCAGGTCCATGTGAAGTTCGAATTAATCCGATTTATTGCGAATCATGCCTATGCACAGGCATCTTCTCAACTAATGATTAACACCTGCTTGGAGTTAGATGAGAGTTAGCGGAACTCAAGGGTGGCTGGATTTGCTTGCGGCTATGTAAGGACTCTAAGGCTGATGTCTTTTTTAACTCCACCCCCGGGATTTGGCCAGGTGAGTCAGTAGTCTATGCGAAGAATGCAAACCTGGAGCACAAACTACACTTGGACACTTCTAAAAGTTGAACAGTACACTCTCCAATGCCACTTGTTTGTGAGATGGGCAGTTATATAAATTAGACATATAAATAAAACCAGAGCATTTCTATATGCCCCCCCCCCAGCAATTTCTCTCTCCCTCCCTCTTTTCCTTCTTCCTTTTTATTTCTTTCTTTTCTGTCTTTCCTTTTTTCCATCCTCATTCCCTTTCTCTTTCTTTCTCTCTTCCTTCCTTTCTTCCTTTTCTTCCTTCCACATGCATACATACATATATACATATGCACCTCAGAGAGGGGCTCTGGGCTTTTTTTCCTTTCATTTTTGCATGTATATATACACCTGAAGGACTAGTCTGTTGGTCTTTAAAGATGCCGGAGGCTGCTGTTTGTTGCAACAGATTTACCATCACTCTATTTACACAGTACACTCCAAACTTAATCTCTTGTGATTAACAGTGTATAGGACAGAGCAATTAGGCCAGTGATGGCTAACCTTTTCAGCTTGGTGTGTCGAAAATTGGGAAAAAGTGTAGCCTTCCTCGGGTCGTGTGTCACTTCAAGAAATATCAATAATTTGGTTTATGACGGACTGGGCTGGGGTGATCACACAGGGCTGTGAAACTCGTCTCCCTGGTCTCAGGGCTGCAGGTGCAGGATGTGGGGATCGGAAGGCCACCTTACAGGGCTGCGAACCTCAGGGCTGCAGGTGCAGGATGTGCACATGTGTAGGGGGCGTGGGGGGGCACGGATTGCCTTCTGGGTGCTGGCGCACAAGCACGAGCGTGCAAGCGCACACACAATTTTTGACACAGGAGCCCAAAAATATTAGCCACCATTGCCTTAGAGTAAGTTTTACATTTCAGTAGCCATAAAACATCCTCATTCAAAAGTTATATTCTCAATAATGACGAAAGCCTAAGGTTGACTGGATGCTGCATGCAAATTTAAACTTCATTTTTTTCCCCCTTGTAAAAATCCCCTCAACAGCTGGTACTCAAACCTGGTATTTAAACATTCTTCTGGGAATATGTAAAGAAATAAAAAAAGCCGTTTTATTATAGTTTCCAAACCAAAATATTTTCCTTATTAACCACATGGTGGTGTATTTGGCTCTCTTCATTTTCAATTATCAGCCCAATGCAGGGGTTTGTCTTTCCGAAAAAAATATATATCGTGACAGCTCTTTAATCCTATAGAATGTTTTAAATACATGAATCTCCAATAACAAATTATCTGTCCCCACTGCATATTAAATATGGAATGGAATCAAGATAATATTGTACTTAAAAATGTGTTGTTTTGAACTCATAATTACTGCTGATGGGACTGCTCAACATGCAGTTCAGTGGCCTTACGACCCATTTGGGCTTCTGATCGACATTTTATCTTGCCTTTTCCTTTTTCAGGAGCTCAGAGCAGCTACAGCAGCACTTTCTCCTTCAATTTTTCCCCAACCAATAACTCTCTAGTCATAGGTTGGCCTAGGGGTGTCAAACTCAAGGCCCGGGGGCCAGATCCAGCCTGCAGGGTGCTTAGATCTGGCCTGGGGAGGGGAGGGGCTGCCCTGGAAATAGCAAAGGACTGGCCAGCCATACTTCTGTCAGCAAAACAGGCTCCCAAGCTCTGTTTTCAGCTGCCACAGCCTCCTGCAACCCTCTGCCAGTGAAAACGGAGCTGTTTGCAGTGGCAGAGGGATGCAGGAGGCTGTGGCAGCTGAAAACGGAGCTCGGGGGCCTGTTTTCGTTGGCGGAGTGCTCGGCCCACCTCAGGTGCCCCCAACACAGGTGATGTTGAGTTGGCCACCCTGGCCACTCCCACCCCGGCTTCCCCGAGATCAAACACAACCCTGATGCGTCCCCGGGGTTAGCCTGTGGGATTGTAACTAACCCAGAGGTACATTCGAAAGAGATTGGACCTTGTGGCCAGCTTCCCAACCAGTTAATGAATCTTGAAAAACCCGAAGTTGGTCACAGCAAAGATAATAATGGAGGACCAGGATGTAGAAAACACAGCAGGTTCAAAGCAGGAAGATTTGAAGTGCTCCAAAAGGGAACACCCAGCCGCCAAAAAGAGCATTTTGCAATCAGAATAACCCATGTCAGGGTTAGCGTTTGTTAAGAATAAAAGAAGTGAAAAATGTTTCTCTTCATCTTCCAATCTGTTCTATACTAAGGAAGGGTGGGTGAGAAGCCACAGCCATCAACCACTTACTTTCCCTCTACAAAAACAGAACACAAAAGCAGAAGCAACCGAGTTAGCTGTTATGGGCCTGATATTCCTGTTCATTAAATGAAGAAAAGAGGAAGAAGAAATGTTCGGATTATGATTGAAAGAAAACATTAAAGTCTGGATAGGCTTGAACTGAGCCAGTACTCGGAGAGATAGAATAGACTTTCTGAGATATTTTAATTGCAAAATATACTTTAGAAATGCAGCCACAATCCCATCATGCCTTACAACACTTGAAGAATACAAATGAGGTTATTCAGAGGCGAGGCTGTTAAACCTTCTTTCTAATGAGGCCATTTCTTTCTAACACTTATTATTATTAGTTGAGCCGAAAGAAAAGGGCTCAGCCTTACTGGAATGTAACAGGGCCCACCAGTTCAAGAATTAATTATGCAAAACATGAATAAACAGCTTAGTTTAAGCAATTAGTCACCGATTGTAGCTGTGTGACATGCTAATTTACATTGTGGTTTGACTTCATTTAACATGGGAAGATAAAACATAGTCAACTTACTAGTTTGGGTGCAAGAATACCAACTGCAGCCTGACCTGTTCTTGAATAAGCAACGCGAAGAATGGTTTTGTATGTTTCTGAGCTCAGTCTGTCAGCTGTTAACATTTCAAAGTAATGACACAGGATGCACATTTTTTTTTTAAAAAAGGAGCAATATATAAACCGGATTTCCATAGCTTCAATTTTGTTTTTCATCTTCTGTAGGTGTGGCTTGATGGCTGGTTGGAAAAAAAAATGTCTTCCCCTTTCCTTCATACAGGTATCAATTAAGGCAAGTGCATCTCCCCCCCCCCCCCCCCCAAATTGGCTTAAATCAGGGATGAATAAATTCCAGGGCACACCTGATCTCAGATGTCAAAATTCAAAGTCAAATAACCTATCTTTATGCTACAGTTTTTCTATGACTATAAGGCTGGGGTTAAAACAAGAGGCTTCAAGGGAGGCAAACCATTCTTATTTCCAGCTTTAAAATGCAACAAATTTCAAATATTTGGGACATTTCAAAGGATGAAAATG